GTTGGGACAACAGCCTGGGGGTGTCCGATTGACTATAGGTCTAACATGCAGCACACTCTGTTCATTATTACATGTGAGCAGGATGCTCAGGTGTTTAAGAGGCATCCCAGAATGATGTGGTTCAGAAACCAAACCCGCAGATTAAGGAAATGAAGCTGAGGCCTCTTTGTCCGTCTTCACACTTCAACACTGAGCTGGGAGCAATTAGCCACTTACGGCAATTGTGGTGAAACACACACACACACACACACACACACACACACACACACACACTCACTCAGGACTGACTGAGAAACACATGTTCTTTCTCCCGTATCTTGTATTCACGATCTGTCGCTGTCCGAAGCACACATACACCTCAGGTCTATCCCATTACATGAGCCCCCAGGCCCAGCTTGCAGGCTGAAAAGCCCAATTTGTTTATTCCTGTGGGGATTACGGGAAGGGAGGGTAGAGGGGGTGAAATGCATCTAACAGAGCGCAGGGGCCCCCTCGACCAAAGCTCTTTAATTACTGCTCCTCCTTGCCACCACCCCCCCATCCCTCCCCAACACCACAGCCTCCCGGAACTCAGCCACAATGAACTTGAGCTACAGTTAACTGCACAGCCACTCTCGAGGTGTGTGTGTGTGTGTGTGTGTGTGTGTGTGTGTGTGTGTGTGTGTGTGTGTGTGTGTGTGTGAGAGAGAGTGAGAGTGAGAGAGAGATATATGGACAGAAAAGGAGTAAGAAAGATCACCAACAAAACTCCCATCCCCCATAATACTTCTTTCCTCCTCAAAGCATTCCAGCTTGGCAGAGGCCAGCACAGAGCAGCGAGCTTCGACTAAACCAACATCATCCAGCTCATCACACCAACACCACTGCTTTACCTGTACAGTTCATACACCTGTGTAAAGAGCAACAAGAAGACAGTCTCAAAAAGACACTCCTTTATTCACATATTAATGAGAGTTTTAGTTTTGGAAAGGTTGGAAGATGCAGCTGCTTAAACTTTTTCCTCAGCGCAGCATCCCTCATAATTGATCCGTGCCAGCCAAACAACCAGCAAGAATACCTCCTAAAGGGCTAATAACAAGGAATGTTTACAATATTATTATAAATATTAATATTTATAACCTGCTGATGTGGTAGACTTTAGAACTGCTCACTTTCACTTTGCTTTCAGTTTCTGTAACTCTCCCTCGTTGCATTTTTTTTTTATATCTCCATAGAAAATATTTCTATGGAGAGTTCCTGCAGTTATGGTGGTTGTTCCACCATGCACTATGCAGCTAACTAGGCTAACCCCCAGGAAAACAAAACAGTTATCCTCTTCCTCTTTCATAACTGAAATTCAATGGGAGAAACGCTGATGCAGTACTATAGTAAGTAAAGAACATTTCTTTCACATTGGTAAGTAATTCCCAAAAGGGAAAAAAAAACAAAAAAAAACAAACAAAAAAACCCCACAATTTAAATAAATCACACATCTTTAAAAAAATATGTCAGAAACTGGAATGCAAATAATAAATAAACAATAACAAAAGAAAAAATCTGAAAACTCAGACATCATCTTTCTACAATAGGTTACTTTTGTAGAAGCAGGACTATGTTGGGTTATATTTGTGCTTCACAGATGGTGACTGATTTAAAAAGAGCACCAACCTAACCAGCATCACAATCGTCTAATTAACTAGCCTAAAGCTTATTTCAGCTCCTCCCACACAAAGGGTCGCCACAGTGTATGGATCCAAGTATTTGCTTTGGCAGATTTGTACATCAGAGGCTCTTCCTGGATTCGTGTCACCAGGGATCTTTCCCACGTTAGATGAATCTGTCTAACCACTATACTATGGCACCACAGACAAACAGACCTGCCTGAAAGTGACAAAAATAGTCAGAAAACAGTGTTTTTAAGAGGCAGGTGTCAGGTAATTTCAGCTATCATCTCCTAAGTTAGCAGTGGTAGCACCTGCAGCATTCTTTCCTTGCAGACTGATATCTGAACTGCTCAGGTTGCTCTGGTCTCGTGGTCGGTGTACTGTGACGCAGCTTAAATGCAACCGTTCCTTCTTTGGATCAAAGTACTGCTGAACTGTGCTGTTTGCACCACTGTCGTGTGTATTTGTTTACAACTGTCCATCATTAAGACACAGACAGAGAAGGATGCTGTCATCTGTCTGTGTCTAGATAACATCTCAGACCCAACAGCTAGCTGAGATTTTACAAAAACAAACTATGGCTAATTCGTTCAACTAGTGGTACCAAATTTTGTGTCCCACAGACAAAAACAATTCTGCTTTATCTCCAAAACTGACATCAATCAGATACATGTTGCCCGTAAAAGATTATATAAATTTCCCTCTGCAGTGCTGTGCTGTTCCCACAATGCCTGGTGGGGCTCCAAACAAAAAGACCCCGGGCAGCCTCGACCACAGTTAACCATGTTAAAGAAACAGTGGAGCAACTCTTTTTCTTCTTTGTGCACTCATTTCTGTGTATTTCACTCACTCTCCCCCTTTCTTTTCTTCACCCAACCATCACTACCACCAACCTCCTCTCACACGAGGAGGTACAGAGGAGAGAGGAGAAAGAAAAACAGAGGGTGGGGGGTAGGCTCGAAGATTGATTAGAGGCAGAGAGGAGAAATGGTTGAGTTGCACATGAAACACAGAAGCAGCCAGAGATGACTCTATTCACACTCATTAAAGAGCACCTTTCAAAGACCTCCTTCCCACACAGATATATGGAAAACAATTGTTTCTTCTCTTAAAGGCACTCTGTCAGCATGAAAATTGCTTTTTTT